TAATCATAAAGGTAGTATCAAAGATAAAGATTAGAGAATATACTTAAATATTCGTGGATTTCCTTTAGTTTCTGAAAAGATACAGATTTAAGATAGACATGTTAACAGTCAAGAAAGTTCAGGTTTGAAATAATTCATGATGTATTGATATCATGTTATATTGATAAAATTGTTTTAGTAGATTATTTTAATATTTTGGAGTAATTGACAGGTTTTTTATTGCACAATAAGAGTGTTCTGAGAGTAAAGTGTTGCCTTGCGTAACTATGACATTCTAAAAGATTCTATACTTTGAAAAGTATTTTTAAAAACCTACATCCATTTTAAGTAACAGAATGGTCATCTGTTCTGTTTTTACTGTTATATTTTTACTTAAATCCAATATAAATCAGCATTTACAGCACCATTCATGAACTTGAGGCAAATTTCATGATCTCTAGAACAAAGTGGTTACTGGATCTAATGTTAAATTTAATTTTTGTCAGGTATAATTGTAAAAAGCAGTTACATGGCTTGCTCAGGGCTAATTATTAACATCCTTTCTTAATTCTGTAATTGGACATAAATATTCTTATTTATCAATAATATATGCACATAAAACTCACTGTATTCACTTAATATTCTGGTTACTAAAGATTTTTAATAGTCCCTCCAGTTAGGAATGAAGTATTTGTTTTTGTTCTCATTCTTCTTATACTGTAATTCCCAATGTGATGTTAAATGTTACTGAAAATCCTTATTAGTTTAAACTTTCAGTTAGCCATGTTAACTTGATGAATTCATTGTGAAAATATGGACTCCAAGTCCCTAAGAAATGGGTGAGGGTTTTGGAATCATTTAAGTTAAGATCCAATTACATCTTAGTTATTTCTATGTTTCTAGTTCATACTGTAGAGTGACATTGAGTTTTTACCTAGTATGCTTGTCATAATAATTTGAGTTAACGTGTATTATCTTGCACCTTTTATTTTAGAAAAGGACAGACTGCCAAAGATTAAATAACTGTATGCATTCAGATAGCTGATCAATAGCAAAACTAGTACTAAGAAATCCAGATTTCTTACTTCCAGTGTTTATAATACAATATTATGATACCAGAAGATAGTTCCACTTTAGTCTTATAGATAAAAATGATAAAAGTAAAATGAAGTATTCATAATTCATAATTTACATATGTTTTTTGTGTAAGTTGTACCAAGCTTGATTCCTATTTGGACTGTAAATTTTAAACTATAAGAGTCCATGTTTTTATGTATCAATTATCACCCAAAATATTTGTAATTTAATTGTCAATGTGTTGTGTTAACATAAATACTAAAAAAATCTCTTCCATGTGGATAATTATAAAACATTTACTCCAGTACTGGAACAGTCTGCAAGTTTTACCTAGCTTTCCATTTGAGAGAAATTTGAATGTGGTAAAAACTTGGATGTTATTACACTTGCTGTTGGCAGGCAAAGGCAGGCATGAAAGTCTTGAGCAAGCTTCTGCAATTCACAGTAGTTTCCTAATATCTGTTGTCTTGAGGATTCTTCGGTTCTCCAGGCTAGGACTAAGCAGTGTTAACTTCCCTGGCCTTCATTCTTACAGCATTTTAAATGGTCATGTAGCCTCTGAGTCCTGTGTTTAGCCGTTTTTACCTGGAAAACCTACGGTGAGAGGGGTTATTGTTAGCAAACACTAATGAATACATTGGTAGATCATATTCTGGATATGAGGGAAAAACGGGCTTACTGACTTGGAAGAAATGTTAGGGAAGAGTAGTGATTTGGCCTGATTGTGCCATGATGCCATGGTGTCATTTATGTGCTTTTGCTTTTAAGCCAAAAATATGCTATGTAAAATACTTACAGCTGAAGTGGCAAATATTGGTCTTCTTTCCTTCAACTTTCTCCAGTCTTCTATCCTGTTTAGGTCCTGATGAAAATCACATAGCAGTTATACTAGACCTTTCCTCTTCAGGCTTCTAATCCCCTTGTTTTCAAGGCTAGATGTTGATATTACCTGAATTCCTGCCAGAGAAGAAGGCAATATTAATACTTTGTTAAGCATGGTTCTTTTTTAAGTTTTTAATTTTTATTCTTGTTGATGTTTACATAATTGATTGAAGGTTAGGAGAAGGTGGGTGAAATCACTATTTCCAAATTTTCTTTTTCTTCCTCCTGTATCTGGGGAAAAGGCAAGACAGTGGGAAAGCTACACCCAGCCTCAAAGCTGCCCAGTTTCCAGGAATGGGAAACGGCCACCCGATGCCATCCCAGGGTCTCCGATGTGGAACATGTTGTAAGGGTTCTGCTCAAGTGATTTTGATAGTTCTGGAATGCTGTCAACACCCCATTCTAGCTGTCATGCTCATCAGTGGGAGCCATAATCCAGCCAGGGCTTCTCCTTAGCTCCCTGACAAGGCCTGTTCCTAGCCACAGATCTTGTGTGTGCCATTGGTTGCTTTGACCCAGCTTGGCATAGCCCATCCTCTGTCTTGGCCTTTGCCATCGGATGCTTCAGCCTGACATGTCCTACCCCTCTCCCAGTCCCAACTCTATCGCTGGTGGGTGTTGCAGCCTAATCCTGCACTGTCTGTTCCCGTTCCTGGCTCAGTAAAACCGGTAGATATGATAGTCTAGCCTGGCATGACCTGCACTCCAGCTTAGCTCTTGCACATGCCAGTGTACTAAGGTTTGGTCCTGTACTGCATGATTCAGTCCCCTTCAGAACCAACCCACACACTTGTTGGCCAGTGGAACGACTTTGTCCATCCTGACAAATACCCAGGCCTGAATCTCATGCTCACCAGAGGGAGCAATGGCCCACCAGGGGAGTTTCCCAAGTTCCTGTACCAGCCCACTCCCAGATCCAGATCCTATATGTAGTGGTGGGTTTTAGGTCCTTACCTGGTATAGTCTGCCTCCTCTGTTCTTGCCTCGGTATGACTGGTGGATGTTGTGGTCTGGCACACCGCACACCCTATTCTTGGGTGTGCCTGTGGGTGCTGCAGTCTGGACCAGCTCGGCCTGTACCCAACTCCTGTACCCATGAGTGTCAGAGGGTTCCGTGATCATGTCTAGCTCAGCCCATCATCACCCTCAGCTTTTAAGCAAACCAGAGAAAATTGCAGTTCCACAGGAGTGGGCCCACTTACTCCTCCAGAGTTAGCCCCCAGACCTGATTTCTCGTGTGCTGCTTATTGTCATGGCGCTGCCTAACATTACCCATCCTTTATTCTGACTCTCACTGGCAGGTACCATGATCTAGCCCTGCTAACTAGGACCCCAGCCATAGCTTTGATGTGTGCCAGTGAGTGGTATTTGGCAGTGGTTGATGCTAACTAGCTCAGCTCAGGTCTCCCATGTGTCCTGGCACATCATTTGACTCTTAAGATTTTTCTGTTCCCCCCTTCAAACTGCTTCAAACTGTCACACCTCCCTCATTTATCTGCAAGTACAGTGGCCTTGTTGATGGAAGTTCCTCAGTAGTCATTCCTCACCTTCAATGTACTCTCTCACCAATCTTCCCTCCCATACATCTCCTCACCCCCCCCCCCGGGCAATCTGCCCTCCCTCCTCTGCTACGATATTAGATGTTCTCTTTAGGCCCCAAAGGAGTGCCATATCTTCTGTGTGCATCTGGGTGTGCCATCCACTGCTCCCTCTAAACCATTGAGGTGACTCAGATCTGCAGGTACAGTAGCTTGTCTATGCAAGTTCCTCAGTAGTCATTCCTCACATGAACATGATCCCTCAGGTCCTCACATACCCTTACCTCTGCCATTCCCCAGGTCCCCTGCAAGCCTATACTACCAAAACCCACAAGTGTGCCACCAGGTGGCCCGTGGGCTTAGCCCCGCACCATTTGCACCCTGCGCCACCCGACCCAGGCAATGCTGCGCTCCCTCTGGGGCTAAGTGGTCTGACTCCCTCTGCACATGCAGGGCAAAGGACCCAGGCTAGGCGCCCCAGTCTTTGTTGGAACCACCCTGCCCCTACTGTCTCGGGGCTAACTGGCCCAGCTGTTATGTATGTTTTATAAGATAATAACAAACAAACAAACTGCTCTTTCTGACTTTTAGGGTTTTATGATAAATAAGTAATTGTTGATATTTATGTAAGTTGCATCTAATTAGATCAGTGAGAAAGGATTGGAGGCATAATGGTAGTGAGATAAAGATTATATGAACCAACACTAAGAGTGACGTAAGTAGAGGATATATACAAAATGAATTTTCAGAGCTTGCATTTAGCTTTAGTGGGAAAGTATTCACCTCTGGAGCAAAGTCAGATGAGCTTAATTATGTTTTCAAGAAACTTTCATACTTAGGTATCAGGAATAGAGAGAATGGAAGGAGGTTACCGTGTAGCTTAAGTATAGCTAACACAGAAAGGAATTACAATAAAGGGTATTTTACAGAGGCACAATATGTTGTTGACTATGTTTAATTGTGGTGTATGATTTAAGTCCATAGACAGTATCTCAAGCATTTAATAATTACAACTAAAATGCCTTCTAAATTACCTACTTGAAAGGTAGTCATTGTGGTTCAACAGGTTAAGCCACTGCTTGAAACACCCACATCCTGTATCTATTTCTGGTTGGAGTCCTGGCACTTCTGCTTCTGATCCAACTTCCTGCCGAGGTGTACCTACCATGGGCCAGCAGGTGATGGCTCAAGTCCTTGGGTCCCTGTCACCCATGGAGGTGATCTGATTGTAATTCTGGGATCCTGACTTTGACTTGGCCCAGCCCTGGCTATTGTGAGCCTTTGGGAGTGAACCAGTTGGTGGATGATTCTTTCTCTCTTTCTCTATCTCTCTCTCTTCCTTTCTTTCTCTCTCTGCCTTTCAAGTTGAAAGATTTAAATAAATTTGACAAAGTTACTTATTGAAACTGAATAAAATCAATATTACTAAAATGATTGTTATGTGTTTCAAAAATGAGAACAAATGCAAATGTCAAATTAATCAAGTGTTGCTTTCCTCACCATTATCTTCCTTTGGTTACTTAGGAAAAGAAGTCCATCAGTGTCCAGAGATCAGAATAGACGATACGACCAACGGGAAGAAAGAGAGGAATATTCACAGTATGCCACTTCAGAAAGCGCAATGCCTAGGTCTCCATCAGATTATGCTGATAGGCGATCTCAACGTGATCCTCAGTTTTATGAAGAGTCTGATCATATGAACTATAGGGACTCCAACAGGAGAAGTCACAGGCATTCCAAAGAGTATATTGTAGATGATGAAGATGTGGAGAGTAGAGATGAGTATGAACGACAAAGGAGAGAAGAGGAATACCAGGCACGCTACCGAAGTGATCCAAATTTGGCTCGCTATCCAGTTAAGCCTCAACCTTATGAAGAACAAATGCGTATCCATGCCGAAGTGTCCCGAGCGCGGCATGAGAGAAGGCATAGTGATGTCTCTTTGGCAAATGCTGAACTGGAAGATTCCAGAATTTCTATGCTAAGGATGGATCGACCGTCCAGGCCAAGATCTATATCTGAACGTAGAGCTGCCATGGAAAATCAGAGATCTTATTCAATGGAAAGAACTCGAGAAATTCAGGGACCAAGTTCATATCCACAAAGGACCACAAACCATAGTCCTCCCACACCACGGAGGAGTCCAATCCCCATGGATCGACCGGACATGAGGCGTACTGACTCACTGAGGAAGCAGCACCACTTGGATCCCAGCTCTGCTGTACGGAAAACAAAACGGGAAAAAATGGAAGCGATGTTAAGGAATGATTCTCTGAGCTCTGACCAGTCAGAGTCAGTGAGACCTCCACCACCAAAACCTCATAAATCGAAGAAAGGAGGTAAAATGCGACAGGTTTCTTTGAGCAGTTCAGAGGAGGAATTGGCTTCCACGCCTGAATACACGAGTTGTGATGATGTTGAGATTGAAAGTGAGAGTGTAAGTGAAAAAGGTAAGATCTCTAATTATAGATTTTACTGTATTAGATAAGATCTTTAAGGCTTATTTCTAAGTAAATATTTAAAACTAACAAAAAAAACTCCTTTAATGGTATTGGTCATGTGAACAAAATTTTATGTTATGAAAAACAAATTATGTTATCCATGCATGACAAAAATTTATTAAACACTTTTCTTTCCTGCTTTGTTTAAAAAATTTTTTTGCATCATTTGATCATATGTTTTAGAGATTTTTTTCAGCTGGTTTTAAAAGTAACATTAAACTTTAATTAAAAAAACAATTTTAGACTTTTTTGCTAAAAAAAATCTAAAATGTCTTCAAAGTGTAAAAAATGAAATGCAAGTTTTCATATTTCTTTTCCCCAGAGAGGACCATTATTTACTGTATTTTCTTCTTTCTATCATTTTGACTGTCTGAGTTACAGATTTATAAAATCGGCATAATACTGTTTATAATTTGGTGCCCTCATTGTTTATTTGATAACAGTTTATAAGGAGTTTAAGATTGCTTTTCAGAAAAGTGTTTTAAATGCTTGCACCAATGTTCTATCTTAAGTTTGTACTATTTTTTCTTACTGCCATTCAATTGCTTCTGATTGCTAGAACAAGTAATTATATAATGATTATCTTTAAGCATAAGTTTTGCCTACATATCTGATGTGTATTTGTACTTTGGATTCTTTTAAGCTTTATTTCAGATTCCCGAATTACTTTCTAGAAAGGTTTTCTACTTCTGTCAGATGTATGTGACTCACCAGCTTCAGTGTACTCCATGTTTACTAATTAAATAAGACTTGGAAAGAGCTGGTTTTTCATCATTGATTGTAGAATCAAGATATTTTATTGGTGCTTATTGATGTTTAATTCCTATGATTTACTTGTTCAACCCTTTTATTCCTTCTACCTGTTTTTATTGGCTATTATGTGGTTATTCTTGCTGATCTATAAGAGCTTTTATATATTTTGGATTTTGCTGCATTTAATTGTTTCAAATGTTTCACAAGTTGATGTTTGTCTCCTGTTTTTCTTTTAATATTTGGAAGTACTGAATTGAATATAACTAAGCCTTGTATCTTTAGTGATGGTTTTCCCTCTTTTAATCCTTCAAAACTCTTTTATCCCCAAATTGACTAGTTAAATAGCTATATGTTTTGTATTTTATTATGTTTAATGAGTGATATTAAATTTTTCTGGAACTTATTTTCATGTATTACAACATACATAAGATTGGTGATTATCTAAAATGAATCCCTTATATTAACTCACTGTCATCCCACTGCAATATTCTTAATGAGTAGTCCATTTCTTCCTTTTAAGAACCAGTAGGCATCAGTAAGGGAATTCAGGAAGATAATTAGATGTGAAATGAATACTGAATAATTTTACAACATAAAAAATGAATCAAGATACATGAATTAGCAGAGGTGGCTTTTTGATGCAGTGGTATAATTGCTTCTTGGGATTTCTGCATCCCATATTAAAGTGGGCAGGCAAGTATTCGGCCTCTGCTTTGGATTTTCTGCTTTTGAGTTCCAAATAATGTGCGCCCTCAGAGGCAGCAAGTGACTGTTGAAGTGCTTACGTCCCTGCTGCTTGTGTGAAGGAGCTAGGTTCAGTTCTGGGGTCCTGATTCAGCCTGGAACAATCTCTGATGCTGTGGACAGTTTGGAAGTGGACCTGTCTATTTGTTTCTCTGAAACTCCACCCTTTAAATAAACAAACACTCAAATACAGATACATATGCATCCACACATGCACACATACATGCATACATACATACTTTTGGAGCTGCTGTTCTGAACTAAAAACAGAAAATATTGTTTACAAATGAAAGATTGAACATTAAAAACTACAAGATTTCAGTAAGTAACTTAATTGAAAATGTGAGTAGATGTTTAGTTCATATTCCGCATTGAGAATGCTATGAAGATGTATGCGCTTTAGAAATAATCTCTTAGGATTAATAACATTCTAGTCATAATTCCAGTTGAATCTTAGGAGCCTCTTGTTTTTCAAGTCAATCTAGAAACAAGAATGCTAGAAAGAATAGCCTAGAACAGTGAGGGATAACCAACCAGATATTGATTGTTCAAAGTGTTATATTGATAAGAAATTTTGCAAAGGTTAGTGGAATTCTGATTTAATCTATTAAAATAAATGATAAACATGTAGAAAGTACAATATTCCAACAGGTAGGATATAGCATTTAAACAATGAGGTTGAGGAAAATACATATGCAGTTAGAAAAATAAAGTTAGGGATTTAATTAATATTCACTGCATTTGAATGACAAATTCTAATCAGATTAGGCTTATTAAAATATAAGTACAAAGAGAAATGCAGATCTTAATTTTCACAGAGATAATGTATAAATTTTTCCCCTGAACTGTAATCCTTCCTTAAACATACTTAATAATCTTTAGTTCAGTCTTTCCACATATTTGCAAAAATATTCTTGTAAAATATAAGCTGAGTTATCTTGAATGATTGGTTTAGATCATTTTGGTAGGTTCTTCTGTTATTTTCTGCTAATGCGCTCCCTTCACATTACTTAATAAGAATGTAAAAAAATTGGAAAGGCATTAATGAAACACTCAAAAGCTTTTTATGTATGATATCTGTCTAAGGGCTCATACTTTGTTTTGCAAAGCTGTTCTCACTTATAGATTTGCAGGTTTATAGCATTACAACTGATATTTAGCAAAATTAAAACACTTCTAAAACGATAAAGAACCTGCATGTTTCACCAGTGATTTCCTCTAGCTTGAACTCTGGGTAGATACCCTTGGAGTCATTCTCTTACTCATGTAACTAATTTGTTTCTCAGAATATAGTTTCTACTAATATTTATTTCCTGTGAATACTTATACTTTGTTTTAGATCTGGAGGAGGAAATTTGAATTTCTTTAATAAAATAGTCTTGTTTGATATTACCCCAGTAGTGGAATTCAGAGAGGAAAGATTCTGGCTGTTGAGAAGGCGGAACATTGTAGGCAAGACTAGCATATTTGATTATTTGTGGAAAAAGCAGGATCCGTGTAGTCCCTGGATCTTATGGCTGGCAACCCCTGATCTCTGTTGGTGCCCCATAGGGCACCATCTTGCACAGAGGGGCAAGAGCTCAGAGATCAGAAGGAGCGGAGGCAAACTGCACATGTGCTTAATCAGTAGGGCTCAGGTGCCATTTTCATCAGGCTAGGCACTGTTAGACTGAAGAGAGGGGAGCTGAGCTGTGCAAGAGCTAAGCGTGAAACAAAGTCACTTTCAGCTTAGAACATTGCACAGGCCCCTCAGAGAAAGCAGTTCCATCATGGCACTCTACAGACTCACCCAAAATAACTCCAGGTAGCTCTCAAATTTAATGGCTAGCACACGTCAACAAGATCAGCACCACTGACAACCCAGTTATTTAGGACAGCTGGCATTTTTCTAATCAGGGACACTAATGGAACATAAAAACCGACTAGTAGATCTGTAGATAATACATCTTAGAAACCTGCCCTAAGGAGAAGAATCTGCCAACCAGAATTGCAATGACAAAAGGTAAAAGAAGAACCAGAGGCACTATGAATGTTACTGAAGACACTCCAGCAAAAGAACGAAAGCTTCTACCACCCTCAGAGCTGACTGAGGAAGACATTGAGAAAATGGGGGACATAGAATTCAGAAAACTCAATATAAAGCTTTTGAATAACAATGAGAAGCACATAATACAAGAGTGCAAGGAATTTAAGAAATGTGTCACACAGGAGATGAATCAAATGAAAGCTGATATGTCAAATTAAGAATACAGTGGAGCAAATTAAAAGTACAGTAGACGGTCTCAAAAATAGAATGAATTAAGCAGAAGAAAAAATGTCAGAATTGGAAGGTATTTCCTGTCACCAGGGGGAAACAAACAAAAAGCTGGAAGCAGAACCAGGTCAAGCTAAAGAAAGTATCCAAGAATTAAAAGATATGATTTAAAGGCTCCATATAAAAGTTATGGGAGTTCCAGAAGGCACAGAAAGAGAATCTGGGATTAAAGGTGTATTCAATGAAATAATAAATTGAAACATCCCTAATGTCCAGAAAGAATTGGAAAACAATATACTGGAGAGGCACTGAACCCCCAACAGAGTTGATCAAAAGCGATTTTCACTGTGACACATGATAATCAAGCTCCCTTCGGTTGAACAAAAAGAAAAAAATCTGTAAGTGTGCATGTGAAAAAAAAAATCAAATGACCTGCAGAGGAATCCCAGGGAAACTCAGCTGACCGACCTCTCAGAAGAAACACTATAGGCCGGAAGAGACTGGAGTTACATATTCCAGATTCTAAAAGGGAAAATTTTTCAGCCCAGAATAATGTATCCAACAATGCTCTCCTTTGTCTTTGAAAATGAAATAAAATTCTTCCACAGTAAAGAAAAACTTCATGGATTTGCCTATTCTAAACCTGCCATTCAAATGATACTCAAAGAGGTTCTCGTGAAAGAGAAAAGGAATAGCAATTACCAAAACCAAAGGCAAATGTGGAGAACATCACACTAAAAGGCCAACAGAAGATTAAATCAAAGAACAACCCATTTCTAAAATAATAGAACCAAACTGCCACCTATCCATTATTAACATCTAATGTAAATGGATTAAACTCATCAATCAAATGCCATTGACTGGAGGACTGGATCAAAAAAGAAAACCCATCTATCTGTTGCTTACAGGAGACACATACAGATCAGAGGAAGCTGAAAGTGAAAGGATGGAAAAAGATATTCCAAGCTAATGGTAAGGAAAAATGTGTGGGTGTAGCCATTCTTATATGATATAGACTTTGATGTGAAAAACATTAAAAGCGATGAAGAAGGATACCATATAATAATCAAGGGATTCATTCAGCAAGAAGAGATCACCATAATAAATGTATATGCAACAATGCCAAGGCATCTAGCTTTATGAAACAAATATTAATGGATTTAATGGGAGAGATAGACTCCAATATAATAATAGCAGG